AGGAAGGCCGCGCTCCTTTCACCCCTAGGCCGCGCTCCTTTCATCCCTTCGGTTTTGGCCACAAGCCGAGAAATTCAGAGCGGCGTTTCTGTACAGAAGTGTGGTCTCCAACAAGCTAGCCCGTCACGCCATTGCAGTGGCTCTTTTTGCTTTTCGCTTGTCCCGTTTTCTGATTTTCGAGCGCACAGTTTTCTGATCTGGTCCGTCATGTTTTCTGATATTGCCCGCCCTGTTTTCTGATTTTCCCGTGTCAGTTTGATTGTTGTTTTCTGATTTGGTCCGGTGTTTTCCGATATCGTCCGATCCGTTTTCGAATTTGTTCTCTGATATCGTCCGTACCCGACGGGGCAATTTGCACAGGAGACCATTACCAAACTGCATCTCCGCTGTGTTTGGTGGGTTTCCAGGGCTTTCCATCTCACCACGGCCAAAATGCTTCCCCGCCTCGTCTGGCATGTTTTCTGTACAAAGGCATGTTTATAAGTGGCTCAAACCTCCCCTCCACCCCTCCCCCCTTCACCCCCGGTTTCTAGGGTTGCGCTGGAAGTGCGGGCGCTGACAATGCTGCATGTAGGTCCTGTCTGAAATCCTTGTCGGGCTTTGCCTGGACTTGAAAATGAGGTCCTACTGTAATTTTCAAACTCGAATCCCGAAAGGCTGAACCGCATCCTGAACTGACAAGCCCCCCCTCAACCCTAACCTCCCTACATTGTCGGTGCAGGCTCCGACGAGTTGCGACAAGGGTGCAAGCTCGAGGCAGGAGAAGGCGATCTTCTCGTAGGCAACAGCAGTCCGTGGGTGTTGCTGACTTGAGCTGAAGTGTTGAGCAAGTGCCCATGCCTGAATGTCGGAATGCACGAAATACAGCAAGATCACCAAAACGGCTCGAGGAATAGGTTTTCTAGTTTTGCGTAGATTGGAAGGTCTGGGTGTGTATTTGCTGAGCCATAAGCTATCGGATGCCGAAGGCTCAAGGATTCTTCAGAGATGTCATGAGAATTCACAGCAGCAATTTGTTTCTTGCCTCATGATCCGAATGGAGAGCGTCGTTTGTCGTTGAGGATCTTGTTTTCTGGGCTAAGGGCCTTAACTTGATTGAGATCTCGGACAGGTGCGGGAAAGAGCAGGACCTCAAGCAGCCTCCATCTCACCTCTACAAAACGAGCAGCTTGAAAAGTAAAGTTCGCTTCTGGTTGCGTCTTGGGTCAGACTTGTTGTGCATGGTCTGCCACGAAAAAAAGACATGACGAACCCATGCGGTGCATGTGGGGCCTTTGGATGGCCTAGCAGACTTCCCCACATTTGCAGAGCCCAGAGCCGTTTTTTCGCTTCGAAGTTCGTAGGAAGGGGCCACAAAGGGGCCACAAGGGGGCCCCGGAGGCCGGGGAGCCGGGTTGTAGTCGCTCCTTTTAGCTCCCATGGCTTCTCCGGGCTTGGAGATGCGACGAAACGTCCCTCGGGTGCGCGAAGTTCCCTTTCTTCACTTATTGTCCTACTGGTAGTCAGTGCATTTGAAGTAGAAGGCTCTGTGATGTTTTTTTTCGTTTTGCAGTGCAGGACTGGGCCTTTCGGCTGGTGCAGCATCTACTTCAAGGCCGATTTGGTTGATCCGCTTGGCTCGGTCCGGGCATGGGTCACGGCCAGTGCCGCATGATGCCCCGAAGCACCACGCGCTGGAGCTGTAACTTGCAAGCTCCGGTCTTAGCTGTGACTCCTGGCTGCTTTTGAGATTCCTTTCTTTGGTCCCAAGCAGTATATGAGCCTTCGTGCCGCTGGGCACCCCCCCAACTAAGGACCGTCGATCGTCCACTTGGAAGCTGACTCTGCGGAAACCTCCCAAGGCCTCCCAAGCTCGGTCGGCGAGACTTCGATTCACGGAAACCCGGCTCTGTCTGAGCACCGCCTTCCCGGAGAGAGCAAGCAAGCAACGCCTGTGAGCTACTTCGAGGAGTTAAAAGCTTGCGCCCTGGAGCTGCATTTGGGCTTCTTCTTGGCACGGCCCCTTGATCGCGACAGGGCCTACAGGATGGGAATTCCTCCCACACAGCATCTGAGCCGAGTCTTTTATGTTCATGCCTGCTTCGAGCACTGCAGCCGACCGGTAGCACTGCGGGACACTGCGGGGTTGAAACATAGAGGAGTTGTTAGCACAAGCGGCTCTCACCTGGCATTAAAGCTGCTGGGGCGTGGCCTATGGGGTTCCCGCCGTGGAGCCCGGGACTTTGCAGTGAAGTTTGGGAAGAGGACGTGCAAGGCAAGAGGACCTTCAGCTCGACGCCTCTGAAGTCTCCGAACCTGTCGGGTTTCAGCAAAGCCTCCCAGCATCGAAGGACGAGCCTCGCGGCAGGAATGTCTCTAGTAGGATGGAAGCTGCAAGGGCCAGAAAAAAGAGGCTGGCAGCCTCATCTCTGAAGCAGGGCCCGCGAAGGCTCTTGATGGGCATCGCAGCACGGGACGAGCTGCTTCTGCTCCCTAGGAGCTGTCCCAAAAAAGCTCTCTTGTGAAAGCCTCAAAGAGGATTTTGCCTCCGCAGCCAGAGCAGGCGCCGGCAGCGCCTCTCAGGCGCCTCTCGGGTGTTGAGCAAAGAAAGGCCCGCTCTGGCAGAGACCCGTCGCAGAGACTGCAGCCGTTTTCCGTTGGGCCTTTCAAGGCCCAAAGATCTGGGGTCTTAGGCCGCCCAGGCCGCCCAGGCTGAGAGCTCCCCTTTGGGCCCGGGCCAGGGTCAAGTCCTTCAGGGGTCCACTTCGTCTCGCACTGCGCGCCCTGTTGCGGTTCGGTTGTCTGCCCCGCACGGAGAAAAAGACTCCGGATTTAATTGTTCCTAACTCTTGTTTTCGTTGCCTTCCCCTTGCCGGCCTCGCTCGTACTGCGGGCGAGTCTGATGCACAGCTGTCTCTTCTCTCCTCTTCTCTTTAAGCTCTTTCTCGTCGCAGAGCGGAAGTTCGTAGACGTCCGCAAAGCCGAGGTGTTCACTGGCGCTCTGTGGCGAGCGCTTTGCAGAAGGCATGCCAAGCATGCGAAGTGTGATGTCTGCGCGTGGCCTGCAGCTCCAGCATCCAAGTTGCAGGACTGCTGCAGCAGGTGCAGGCAGCAGAGAGGGCCCGTCACAATGTGCTATGGCCGCTATGTCTTACGAACACATTCCAGACGAGGGGTAATCGAGCTGCTCAAGTCGACTCTTCGGTTTGCATCTCCGAGAAAGGGTCGCTGGGCCGCTTCCCGCAAGATCCGAGGGGCTCCACGGTGTCTCGTCAGAGGGAAGGCGAGGGACTGCAAAGCTATGCATGCCAGTCGCAAGCGGGAAGCACACATCGGGGGCCATGCTGCGTTCTACTCAAAGCAGCTGACCATTAGCCACCCAACCAGGCGGGCCCTGCCCCAAAGCTTTTCTGAAGTGTACTCTGGCTTCTGAATCAGAGGGAAGGGATGGCGTTGTCCTTCTTGGCTCCTTCCTTTGTCCCAAACCAGAGAAGTTGTAAGAGGCCGTGTGCCGGATCCGCCGGAGCCCCTTTGACAAATCCGTTGGGTGTGCTTGGCTGCAGGGGCTCCCCAAATGGGAGGGTCATATCTTTGCGGCTTTGCTCTGCAGCCTTTATTCGGCGCTCTCTCTCATTCGACGCTTTCACAAAGACATCTTCGGCTCGGTTGCTCGGCTTGGGCGCACACCCCCTCGGCCAGCAGTAAGGCGCCGAGTGCATCGCCTGGCCTTGCGGCCTTTCCTTGCGCTCCCTGCACTGCGGGCACTACTCTTGGAAGAGCTGGCTCACTGCCCACCGAGCCCAGTGCCTTGCCTGTCACTACAGAGCTCGGGCTCCCCCCCAATCGTGCCGACGCCAAGTTGACCCACACTCCAAGATTCCCTTCTGGTTCGTTCGGAGCCCATGCTCGAGCCCCTCGTCCTGCCGCTGACAGGGCGTGGAGTCGAACCGCGTGTTTCGTACAAAAACTGGGGCGCGTGACTCGACCACAAAGTCAGAGAAGGCGGTGACAAGCCTAAAGCGGTTGAGACCCCTCCGCCCAAAAAAGACTCCGTCAGCGCGGAAGGCAGCGTCGGGGAAGTCCTGAAGGGTTCCGGGTTGGCCCTCTTTAGGTCGAGAGTTGAAGGGATGCATCCTGCGAGTCCTTCGTAGGATGTGCTGGCCGCGGAGTTCTGGCTAGCTCCAAGCTGGAGGGAGCACAGAGCGATGTCCGGCCTAGAGGCAGTGCGAAAAGCAGGTTTACGCCTTGGACCATGGCCCGGACGATCTAACCTTGCCCTGCCACACTGCCAGGGGCAGAGTGGGCGTCGGTGTCCGTACTCCGCCTCCCCCAGTCTTCTGCAAGACGTACAGAGCGCCTTAGAATGCCGTGCTGCACTCTCGGCTTGAGCTTTCGGTTCCCGGGGCCTGCGAGAGGCTGTGGGAGGCGAAACTCGGGCTGAGCTGGCCCCTTTGCTGAGGGGCGCTCGCCTTAGGAGGCGAAACTGGAGCAGAACTGGAAGAGAGTTGACCGTATTCTCCTGCGCTTCGCTGCATCGCTTCGGCTGCTAAGGTAGCCGGGCGCGCGAGTTCTGGCTGCCCGGCCTGCGCAGCTAGACAGCTCCAAGCTGCACCAGGGACCACATAGCGATGTCCGCCCTGTAGGTAGGGCAAATAGCAGGGTTTCATGTTAGACCATGGCTTGACGATCTCGTTGCCCTGCCAGTGGAGTGGGCATCGGTGGACTCTACCCCAGTGTTGCAATACTACACGCCTTAAAATGCTTGACCGAATCGTTTGTAGAACAGTGCTGGCCGCCCGGCTGTACTTGACTGCCCTAGGAACCAGCGTCTGACAAAACGTGGACGGGTGACCTCATGTCTCGTGAACCTCATCGAGCGCTTCAGGTAACTCTCATCGAATCAACTTTTGCAACTTTAAGCTGATTCCCTTCTGCATGGCGTGTGCAGCCCTGCATGCTCGAGTCCGCGCGAAGTCCTGCCACAGCTCTCTTTGACTGCCTTGAAACCTCACATGTGCCGTAGCATCATTACAGCGATTGGCAGGCGAGGCTCCACGGTTACGGCCTATGCCTGGAAGCCCGGATGTCTCAGAGGCCAGCGTGTTGAAGATGTGTTGAAGAAGCAGTTCCGTCCAAGTCACGGCACCGATCCCTTTGCAGACTTGTCAATTTTGTATGCCCTTAAGCTGCATGACATTCGGGATGCACAGCCGGCATCCACGAAAAGCGCCTGCCGGCGCTTCTAACACGCAGACGGGTGGCCTGAAATCTCCTGAACACCAGCTGTCTCGCAAGCACGGCTGTACTTGACTGCCCTAGGAACCAGCGTCTGACAAAACGTGGACCGGTGACCTCATGTCTCGTGAACCTCAGCGCACAGATCTATGTGAGGGAGCTCTCCCGAGCCGTTCAGGTAACTCTCATCGAATCAACTTTTGCAACTTTAAGCTGATTCCCTTCTGCATGGCGTGTGCAGGCCTGCATGCTCGAGTCCGCGCGAAGTCTTTTTGAATGCCTTGAAACCTCACAGGTGCCGTAGCATCATTACAGCGATTGGCAGGCGAGGCTCCACGGTTACGGCCTGTGCCTGCAACCCCGCATGTCTCAGAGGCCAATGTGTTGAGGATGTGTTGAAGAAGCAGTTCCGTCCAAGCCACGATCCCTTTGCACACTTGTCAATTTTGTATGCCCTTAACCTGCACGTCATTCGGGATGCACAGCCGGCATCCACGAAAAGCGCCTGCCGGCGCTGCTAACACGCGGACGGGTGGCCTGATGTCTCCTGAACACCAGCTGTCTCACAAGCAGCCGGCATGCCTTGTTTTTTGAGCGGTGTGTTTGGAGGCACCGAGTCTCCACGCGCCTTCCCCGAGGTCTTGGTGTGGACCTCTGTGTCCCCGGAACGTGAGCTTGCCCCGGGCCCCAGTGTCACGAAAGCAAGCGTCCTGGAGCTGCTTGCATTTCGCCGGATCAGGGCAGAAGGCTTGTGGGCAGGCGCAGCAGCATTGGCCACGGCTCTCTTGAGGCACTCGCCGTTGCAGCTGAAGATGGGTGTCTCGGTGTCTGCACAACCCCACATGCTCCCCATACAACTTGTGCCACGTGAGGCCGCAGGGTGGAGATTGCATCTGCTTCTCTTCCTGGCTGCTGCCACCGCGCTGCTTTCTGCCACTCTGTCGGCTGTTGCTCTGCGCAGGACAGTTCACGTCATGCCGGTCGTGCTTGGCACGTCGACTTGGATGAGTGCTTCTGCATGCCAAAACCCACGGCATCCCCGCGCCCTCCGCGCCAATGGCGGTCTGACGAGTTCTGCTGAGCGTGAGATGGCCCCTCGGCAAGTTCGGCTCTGCACCCTTGCAGTGCTTCTGAGAAATCTTTGAGGCCTCCTGCCGGAGCAGCTTGATGCCGGCTTGCTGCGAGTGGATCTCACAGGAAGGCTGCAGCTGAAGCTGTTCCTGCGGCCCCGGGAAAAGCCATGAAGAGCTGAAGCATAGCCGCGTAAAGCGCTTCTGAAAGAGGTCTGACTCGTGCAGTGCCTTGTGGGAGGCGAGCCTCGCGAGCCCAGAGCCTTGAAATCCTGCTGGACTTCTCATCCATCGCGCTGCGACGATCTCTGGGCCCACAGAGATGCAGCAAGGTTGCGTGGGCCGGGGAGATGCACTCTGAGCGCACGTGAGACCTGTGTATGTGGTAGAGCTTCAAACAAGATCTATAAGGTTGTAGAAGCGAAGCAGAGGCCGAAGAAAGACAGGAAGGGAAGCACAGGAGTTCCCAGCGGAGCAGCAACCTCGTGTCGATGTTGTTCCAGGTTGGGCAAGGTATTTGCGCCTTAGGGCCACTTCGCGTAGTACTGTCTTCAGGTGTATGTTCGATCCTCAAGTTTGCATCTGGCGCCCAACCTCTTCTTTCAGGCATCAAGTAGCTCCCGCCGGATTTGTCGAATGGCACATGCACCAGTAGCACCTGTGGGCGCTTGTATTTCTCGGCCATTTCGCGTAGCAATGTCTTCAGGTGTATGTTCCATCCTCAAGGTTGCATCTGTCGAACAGGGCCGAGCGGCTTTGCCTCCAAGCTATTTTGCAGTTGCTGCGTTGTCTCCCAAAGCATCGTGCTGCCTGCCCGTACCTGCGCGATCTCGCGTGTCTCCATTGCAGCGACGGGCTGGCAACGTGAAATGATGCCATCTCATCTTGCAGCCTTCGGCGAGCATGTGGACGGCGGAGTGGATGCTGACGCGAGCTGGACCACCGCAGTGGTGCTGCGCACTGCGACCGAGACCTTCTTCGTTTTGCAGGCTTTGCCGGCTTTGCACGCCACGGATTGCAGAGCAGCTGGTACATCTTGCCAGTGTCAAGCATCAAGGTGCTTCTCTTCACGGCTCAGCTGTGCCCTTGTGTGCTCGGAACTTCGAACCATGGTTCCAAAGTGTGATCGTCCCGCATGATCTCTTGGCAGTCGTCCGCTAGAGCCGCGAAGTTGTGAGCACTTCGCACTAGAGAGATGATTGCCGAAGATGCTGGGTGCTGTTTCGCGCCTGCTCTGAATGCATGCAGCAGCACGTAGCCTTTCAAGTGCGTACGGAGCACCGTGGGCCCTTTCCGCGTCAGCGCGAGAACTTGTACAATTTCTGCATGTGCTTGCCTGTCACTAGGCAAATAGTTAGCCTTGCCAGAGGCGCCCAACCTCTCAGGCATCAAGTAGCTCCCTGTCCTGCTTTGCACATGAAGCAATCTAGGGCGCCTGCCGGATTTGTCGAATGGTACATGCGTGCTTGTCGCACCTGCTTGGCAAGAGGCACGGGGTCTTGCAGCTTACAGAAACCAGCCCCCTCGCGCCGCAGAGGTCACTGGCAAGCAGACGCTGGCTAGCTTCTGGGGCCTACAGTGGCCAGTGCAAGCTCGTCTCGCGGCAAGCACATGGATTCTGGGCATCTCCCTGCATCAGGCACCCTCAGTCGGGATCAACTGCATCATCCGATCGAGATGGCAGGTGCGCTGGTGTCACCGACGGCTGTGGGCGCTCATAGCACCAAGCCTTAAAGCCGTCAGCCCATTTCCAGACGGAGAGTTCCCCAAGCTGTATTGAAAACCAGGGCCCCGCGCTTCGCAAACCAGGACCGCAAGCCTTAAGCCTTTCTGCAAAAAGGCCTGCATGGACACAAACAGGACATCCGATCACGATAAGCGCGCAGGAGACATTGCAGCCACTGCCAATGTCGATGATCGCATGTCGTGGTGCTTCAAATATCATATGTTGCGAGGGCATTTGTGTTGCCACCAGACGCCTTGTTCCCGACATTGTGCACGGCAGCTCTGTGCCAGCAGCTGGTTCGTTCCTGTGAGTATTCGGCAGGCTTCTGTTGCGATGTCGAAGGGTCTTTGCTTCACATGCCACCCAGTCTGTGGAATGATGGTGAGAACACCGCCGGGATGTCCCACGGCATCGCGTGAAGCGACGCCCAACACGAGGCACGAGCCCAGCGGTGGGCAAGGGTACCCGATATCGAACGACACCCAGCTG